CAATGAAAAGTTGACAAAACTTGTCTTGGGGGGAGGGGGGTGTCCTTACAAAGTTGACGTTAACCACGATGCTCTAAAAGGTTGGGGAAAGAAGAAAAGAAAAGAAGAAAAAAATATTATAGACCACATTTTTTGGCCTAAAAGTAACACAGATAAATTGGACCATACTATTTTCTTTTTGCCTAAAAACTAAAATTAACAGTTATCTCCCAATAGCACAGACAACGAGAAGCTGGATAAGAACAGGTTCTATCTAAATGTAGGCTGCATGTACGTTTTGGTTGACGTCAACTAGAAGGGGGTGGTGGTGGGAAAGATGACAGAAGATGACAAGGGGAGAGGGATCATTTTTGGCCAAATTTTAGCTCACGTCATAGGTGAACGATCCCTAAGTAAGAGCTCTACAGAAGTCAAAAAGACCTAATACTTAATGTGCTAAAAATTGTTTGAAATGCTACAAAATCGCCAAAACCGTCGCCGTGGGCAGATTGTGGTAGGGACTTTGTGCCAGTCGTGTGTGTAATACAGACAAAATCCAAATCACCAAAATATATAAACGGGCAAAAGCACCACCAAAATTAAAAATAGATCTTTCAAAATAAATAAATAATCGCAAGGTTTCTCTGTCAATGTAAACAGTAGTTTACCATTCCTAGAAACATGATTAAACTTGAATAATTGGGGAGGTGTGTGTGAGTGGGGGAGGGACTAGTAATAACTTTTAACAAATAAATATAAACTTGTGAACAGTAGAAAATATCTCTTACCAAAACTGAGAAAGCAAATCGAAAAGTGCATGGCCCAGAAAAAGTAATAGAAGAGGGGAAACGGTCAAAGTAAAATCGAATCATAGAACGTAGAGAACAAAACGTAATGAAACGAAAAAAATAAATTATAAAGTGATAGAGAACAGTGGCGGTGGGTGGGCCAAAACTTGGGTGGGGCTTAGGTTGCTTCTACTTCTTTACCACCAAATCGCAAGCAATAAGAACAAAACAGAGGTGGTTTTTCTATACTCACGGCCAGCCACGGCATTTTTGGGTGCCATTCAAACGAGAACAGTCACCTTTGTCTTCTATCTCTTTGTTCTACGTTAAATTTAAATTCTTCTGGACGATGGGGACGAAACCGTTTCACCTCCAAATTTCTCTAGATCTAATTAGTTTTCGTCAGATGGAAAAGTTGCCTCAAATGTGGTTTGATGTAATTGATAACTGATAAATCTCAGCGGTACACACACAAACATGTACACATAGCACTCCAAACATAATATACCGTCTATGAGCTAGGCCGTGTAGTCGCGGAAAGTACAACACACCTAACAAAGGTTCAAAGGGTGAATAGGTAACTGTGTCACTGGGGGAAAGTGTCTCGTAAACTTTCACCCCCTTGTCAGGGCTAGAAGAGCGTGAGCCGTCGCTGCAGGGTTATTATTTTCAAGTCTTCTACTTCTACCGTTTTACAAGAAGGGTTTCATTAAGAAGGGGTCGTGGGAACGGGCTCGTTCTTTTCTGAGCCCAAAAGACATATTTTGATGGGCTGTTAGGTAACTATAGTTGTAAGCGGTGACAACAGTGATTGGATAAACTGCCTATTTCGTTATTTTCATTTTGCTTTGGGATAGACTTGGGGGGG